GGCGATTAAGAATGACTGGTCCCTAATTATCAACATGACATCACACTCCTATGCGTAAACTCACTTGCAACACAAACATATCCATCCTTGCAATATCCTAGATATCCCTCGTAGCAGTAAGATTCGTAGTCTATGTAGATGCCCGGATAATGGCAGGCCTGGTTACCAGGACAGTCTTTATGTTTCCTGCACTCGCGCCTCTTACAGATACCCCACTTGCAGATGTTCCCGTACCCACATTGGTGATCAGCATAGCACTTCCTGATACCTTTCATGCAGACCCTCAGGTGGATGTCGCAGTATTGGTCCGAGGGACAATGATCGTGAGCACGGAAGGAGCGGATGAGCCAGCAGTTACCACTGTGGCAGTAGAATCCATCGTGACAGTAATAATTGCCATATGGTATCTGCCAATGATAATTTACGCGAAATTATGGCGTGCTTTTGTCGAAGAGTGACAAATTGCTTTGGAATGTACTTTTTACCTTTTTTTTTTAACTGGTGCGGGTAAATTAATGAAATTTTATAGGATTGTGTAAGTAATGTCGATTGCGTGCATTGGTAGAATCAGTATTTAACGCTACAGGGCTATTCAAAGTCTCTACTGTTTGCAGGCATCGATAGATACGGTTAAAACGGTTCTGAAACAGATTTTTCAGTTCGAATGTCCATTGAAATAGTCTCTATGCCATAAAGAGTGTCTAAATTTGTCTAAGTTTGTATTCATCCCAAAAGTCACCCGAGATAATGATGTAGGGTTTGAAGACGCCCAAAATGATGGATTTAGGTTTTCCTATCAGCAAGAGAAGATTAAGTTTCCTCTCTTGTTATCATTAAGAAGATTCAGAGTGTCTCGTTATGTAAGGTAAAATACGTGGGAAAAAATTTGAGCAACTGTAAAAGGCTACAAATTCTTCAAGAATTCCAAAAAACAAGTCGTATACACTACCAAATGTTCTGGGGTCTAAAGTATTCAGATACAAAACTCAAGGACAGCGCAGAGGGAGAAGTTAGGGGGGTATACCCCCCCACTACTTTTTTTTAAAAAAAAACTTGTCCTGTTAAGTATGCCGCTATCCCCTTTCCGTATTGACTGATGCTTATGCGTTCGCCTTGAGGCCCCCCTCAAAAATTTGCTACGGAGAACCTAAACTTTATCATTTTAGATACCGGATTCAAAATCTTTGGAGACGCGTGCAAACAGAATCGTTTTCATCACAGACCTATCGGTTGGTGTGTAATTGAAAGAATGAACCTCCTGGGAATAGATATGCTCTCAAGTAAACCTACCTAGTCCAAATAAAGTTCCACAGTGTTCAAACAAAACCGTTGTGTCTGGATCACATAGAATGTGACATTGAATCCACCTCTAATTAAAAACGATACTTGACCAAGAGAAAGACTTGATATCGCTCAACTTAGAACAGTTCTTATACCTCTTTCACTTCGGAATTTGAAAAACTAATTTGGGATCATTCAAGTTCTTAAAGCCATCAGCAAATATGGGGATTTGGATGTTACGAAGTGTTTTTGAGAAAAAAACGCGCCACCGTGAAGATTTCGTTTGAGTTACTCTAATGCCCTTAAATGCCGCCGCGATTTTTTATAATCAAGAATTGAACTATGTAAATTTTTCTTTGTTCTCAAGTACAATTGTATACTTGCATAAGCACGCTTAATGAGTCTGCTATCCTCCTCTATTTTGGCCTCGCCGTGAATAGCCGCAGAGAAAGCTGCTAGCCGATTAAAAATCTCAAAAGAAAACTCATTTCTCCAAGGGGTAAGTAAGATACCGACCGGGTCTTTTGTCTTCTGTGAAAATGGGATGAAAAGCACCCCACTTATACGCTCTGTTTTTGCCACGTTGCTCACCTCTATCCATTGTGAACCACTGAGCGCTGAACAAGCGTTTGTGAGGTCTGTTCGTAGCTCAAAGTTGCTGTAGGGTTCTAAGCTTTCAAATTATCTTTCGTATATGTGAAGTTTGTTTGAGGCGCGTCTGGGGCACAGAAATCGGTACCTTAAGCATGTTCAACGATTTTGGCGCCTATCTTTAGTTTTAGGAATGTATATTTAATCAAAGGGAACGTGCTTGGAAAGCATATTTGATTAACTGTTTGACACAGTTTATAACACTGAGTTTCTGATTCGTTCGAAAACAATCATGAAAGAAAATTTTTATCTCACTCTTAACGCCATCAACGAGCTAAAAATTTACCGTCTTTGCTCATTCTCTCAGGAACTGTACATTTCGAAGGAGCTGATTCTAGCTTGACAAATGCTGGACGCTTGTAACTCAAAAACCTAACACGTAATCTATAGTCCGAAGCTAGAGAAGGCCACTTACAGATTTCATATTTACTGAGGTTGACGTTACGTTTTACGAACAAGGACGGCGCAACGACTAAAAATTGTAGCTTTCCAATCGTTTTGAGTTTCATAAACAATACTGATAGCTATTTATTTATTTATCTGGCCAAAATCAGTGAATGAACACGAAATCACCTGACTGGAAGCCTCAGATTTTAAAAAATTGGCCATAGTTAGCCCGGATATAAAAGTCGTTTGTATAAGGTAAGCTACGTGTTATTGGTAGTCATAAGAAAAAGTGATATCTGACACGATTTCTTCATATTGTAGGACAAAACACGGTCTTGGATTCAGTCATGGTGGAAAGATGGTGGAGAGTAAGCTCGAAATTCAAACAAAGAATGATCTTACAAAACCCTCCCTTGTGTTATTTGCAGTTGCTACTAATGTGCACATCAACTTAGAATTATTTCACGTTTACCTTTAGGATAAGCAAAGGTCTTACGAAATTAATGACATTTTCGTTTTCACTTCATCGACTGATTGCGTAGATAAAAGGAAATGAAAATAGAGATCATGCATCCACTGTTTTAAATCCATCTTTACAAACGACTTTTACTCAATGGAAAAAAAAAAGGGAAAAAATTAACAAATCTTTTGATAAGCGCTCTAAGCAAGAAAGAGGTATTGATAAGATCTCTTAAACTCTGCAAATGACCCCGGGACCACGAATGCTCACCAATTTAAGCAGAAAATGATCTCCGATACCGAAAGATGTTAATGACGCTTTTAAAAAATTAGGAATGGCGTGGATAATAGGGTCCATTGTAGAATATATAGAACTTTACATGTGATTTCAATAAACATTTTTCTTTTCTTTTTGCAAGCATTTGCATCATGTCAAAGATATTTGATGAAAGTGAAATCAGCAAACCAAAGCTATCATTCTGTGTGAATCCAACTTTTTTTTATTGTATGTTTTCGCACAGAAGTTTTACTTGATTTGATTGACTGGTATCAAAAAATTGGGGTCCTTTAATGCTGTCTAAAATCGAACTGTCAAATGATTGAAGACCGATTTGCCCTTTTACCATTTATATAATTTGTTTCCCTTTGGGTAAGTTCAAATGGGTCATGGCTCTCTCACAATTGGCGAGTGTATTTGACATCATTATCTCGACAAGTTTTAAAACGCGCCTTTGGACGACTGGAAGACAAGACTTACTGCTAGACCGCACTGTAGACAAGGTTTTATTTGTCATGTTTTATTATCCCTTGTTGTTCAAAACAATTGATATCACACCAATGTTGCAAGTAAGCGAATTTGAAATGTATCGGCGACACAGTCAAGCAGTAAGAGAGCATGATAACGAGGTTATGCCCCGACCCCAGATCCAGGCTCCTCGGTTGGTGGCAGAACCTTTACGCATCTACCCCAGTAATTTCCCACGCCAGCTTCTCGGCATTCAAGTCCCTCGATGCAGCCACAGTTGTAGATATCAGCCTAAATGTCACATAAAGCGAAGTAAAAACTATAAGTTAACAACTATTTTGTTAAAAGTGCATTTGTAACGTCAGCTTCATAGTTCATTCAAGTGATTCATGGCTGTGCTATTAAAAAAATTACTCAGCGATTCGTATTTAGATCCTTTTACTAGTATAGGAAAAGAGATATCTCAAGATAAAATAAAGTGAAGGTTTGTGCTAATATAAAACGGATTCATAATATTTGATCAGTCTTAACATTTTTTATCCTATCCTTTGTATGTGCAACCGTCATTGATTTGTTCGCCTAATTTTCAATTGTTAGTCCTTCATTTGAACATCAGCATGGGATGGTCCTGTAACGACCAACTGAGAACAACTTAGGTGAATTTTGACATATCCCAATTATTATTATTATTATTATTATTATTATTATTATTATTATTATTATCATTATTATCATCATTGTTATTATCATTATTTATTATTCAAAGATTTTATTATTTTAATATACTTTCATAAGGATAATTTCGATGCACGTTTTTGAAATTCTATCAATTCGAACTAGCAGTTGCATTCGAAATTTTTGTATGTAGGTCGTTTTTGTTATCAAAGTTAGTTTTGGGTCTGATATAAGTCTGATCCCAGAGAACCGAATTTAACAGATGTGTTCCGTGTCAATTAATTTATAAATGTACGAGAGGAAAAACCATTACCCACGCGAAGTTATTATTGTTATTATAATTTATATTCTGATTTACATAGTAAATTTTCAACGCAACTCTTTAAGGTCAGAGACTGAAACAAAAACAAAAATCTGAAACAAAATTTTAAATAAACAAGAATTAAGAATAGAAGAATTAAGTAAATAATAATAATATTAATATATTAATAATATTAATAATTAATATTAATATTAATTAATTAATAGGTAGAATTAAGAGATATTGCGGCATTGTAGAACCCTTCGCAAAATAGGACTGTAACAGTCAACACAACAACAAACTGTTCAGTAAAAATCGTTTAGAATCGGAATTCAAATTTTAGGGAAAGAGGTGGGGTAGGGAAAGAAAAAATCTTGACCAAAGCAGGCTAAAAAAAGTAAATTCTTATTTAAAAAAAAAAAGAAAAATTTGTACTATGATTAAGAAAAAACAAATTGATTACCCCTATGCGAGGACAGCAGTCTCCCTCCTTTCTGCGTAGTTTGCATCGACGACCAGAACAGCACTCTGATTTCCTGCAGCTACTGTCACTCGAACAAGTCCTGGGCTTTTTCACGCACTTTCCCCAATAGTTATTCCAACCATATCTCTTACAATAGTATCCTTGTACACAGCCACAGTTGTAACCATCAGGCTGTGAAAATTAAAACCAAAATACTTTGAATTTCAAGGAAACAGTAGAGCTGCGCACGGTCTACCGATAATTATAATTCATCAAAACTCTTTACTCGAGCGCGATTGGTCCAAAGGCGACGAAACCGAATATTCCCAGCTGAAACTGAGGATATCCCAGGATATCACCAAAGTGATATTCTCCAATTTTCAAACGTTAAGTCCACTGAAACAAGTCTCTCAAGATGAGAGAGCATTTTATGATTGTTACAGAAGGGAAACATTTGTTTGTCCATTAAGTCGTACCAGAAAACACTTAAAAGAAAGCATCTCACACAGCAATCACTAAGCTGTTCGTAAACATTTTTTTTCAAATGCGTAGCAAAATATTTAAAAGACAATACACACAATAACCTCTATTTTGCGCGAAAATATGCTCGTTTATCTGTTCTTGGACATTATCGTTTCCTCGAAGATCGCAGTTTTCCTCTAGCTACGCCCACGGAATACCCAACGGTTCGCGTCTCGGAACAGATAATGGCCGCAGGCAATATACAGGCACATTTCTGAGCCAAATGGAGGCCATTGTTGGTGTACTCTAGTAAAAATCGGATATCCAAAGGCTTCGACTAGGAACACAACTCTCTCTTCTTTCATTCTCCTTTGAAAAATAGTCACAACTATTCAGCAAGATGGATGGGGGATAATACGCGCGTTGCCTGTAGGTAAATCACAAGTTTGAGCAGCCAATCAGGAGTGCCTTTAACGCTATTTTATCATATACTAATGACCAATTTTACTCAAAGGCATACTTTTCAGTTTAAAGCGCCTTCGAATTGGGTCACATTTTCACGGACATCAAAAGAGTCTCTGGTAAAGACGAGTTATGTCCAAGTCTAGCTCACCTTTTTCCATGGACACCTACCTCCCGGTCGCTTGAGGCTCTTACAGGATCCATACGAGTGTGACGAGAAATGCTTCGCGCAGCATTGCGTTCTAGAACAGTGCGATTGGTGAGTGCATCTGCGTACCTAAGATCGACAACAGCGGCGGTTGTAGCGGTTATAACCATATGGGCAATGCTTATGGTAGTAACATCCTCTCTGTTAAAAACAAACGTCAGTATGCATATTCTCCACACTGTTCTCTATACATTTCTCTAGGTACTTACAAGGAAAAACTGTTTAACAATCAAGAGGTTTTATAATCTGCAATTCAAATATCTGATGTTTATATATTTACAGTCGTTCATTCATCACTAGACCGGTATATTATGAACCAACAAAATGACCAGCTCTAAGTTGGCTTGTAAGCTCACTTTGCAGAGCACTGCATCGGTATCGCAAAGGTTCTTGGTCAGTCATCTCCCGAACAAGCCTGACTTTTCTTTTTCTGGTTTCCTTATCACTTCTGCTTAAGTAGTGTTCATTACTGCAAAAGCAACTCTCATCTTCACTTGGTAATCCTCGGTTATAATATATGATGTTTATATGTTCACAATCGTCTATTAGAGAACCTCTTTAGTTGGTGATTATTTCCTTTATTCCGTCATTCGTGTGATTCAGGGATGATATCGTAGGAAGAAACTGGATGCTAGTAACTCTTAGTGGTCAAAAGTTAAGTGAGGCAATAGAAATGCCGCTACAAATGTTTTTAGATAAGGAATCTCACCAGGTAATGGTACAGCTATTTATGCAGTTTTAGTGCTTGAAATGATACTTTTTACTGGTAAACAAAATTATCCAGCACTACAATAAGTTTGTGCAGAGAAAGTGTGTCACAGGCAGAGAATAGAATTCAGGGAAAACACAAAAATTACAGACTTGCTAGGAGCCAAGCAAGGAAAAGGGATGAGAACATGAGACTTAACAAAGAGGGCACAACATATGAGTCTGGAGCCCTTAATTTTTAGTTCCCAGGAGTGTAAAACTGACTCAAAATAGTTAATTTTCTTTTCTTTTTGTTTCAAAATTGTTGGAGAGTGATATTTTGGTGCTGAATGATGCTATAATCACCTTCAATTGACATTGCATTAATTAAAGGAGTTTTTCTTTGTGTCAACTTTAACAGCAGTTTTCTAAAAACTGCCTTTTCGTGGTAGTTGCCATCTGCCCCCACCATTTTTTTACTTCATTTTAAGACCAATTTTTGTGAAATCTGACACAGGCTATCCTTTTGATGTAAGCTGTGATCCTATGGAGCAAAATTGGATATAGTTAAAATTGAGGAGAAATTAGATCAACATCCTTATATGGAACTGTTCGGTTGCCATAGTAGCACCAAAGACCCTATCCCGAATCCGCTCCATATGATCACAGTTTAATCCATGGTAGTTGTGCCTGAGAAGTTTCAACCATTTGCTATGAATTCTATAGAAAAAAAGTACGGAGGGCAGACTGCAACCCCCAGTTTATGATATGAAGTTCTGAAGTTAAAAATTAACTACGGTTGAATCATTTCATCTCGATTTCAATTTTTTGGATAGATCTTTCTAAAGGGATGCCCGGAGCAAAATTTCAATGTTTTCTACAAGATTGTTAAAGAGTTTTGTTTCTTTAAAGTTATTCATTACATTTGCAAAATCTGACAAGACGGCTCCCTTAAACTAGAGTTGTACAACACGACTTGGTGTCTTACACTTAGAGACCAGTCATTATTTATCGCCTTGAAGGGGAGGAGGAGGAGAGATTCAGAGGATCTTAGGGGACCCTACACAGTTTTCAAGGGGACGGAGGGGATCAGTGGTCGCCAGTAGAAAGTAAAGGAGAAAATATGGAAAATTAACTGCCGATTAAGGTGCCAGTGAAGGGGCGGTGGGGGCTCATAAGAATATTATAAAAATTTTTATCAAGTAAATTTCAAGTTGACAAGTAGTGGGCTAAGAGTTGTCAATATTTAGCTCACAACTTTGTTGATTCTTTTCAGCGTCCCACGTGGCAAGTTCTTTTGTGGGCGATGTCAGAAAGCAATATTGAATAAATGGAATTTCTGGCGTTTGAATGCCAACGAATAAGCCGGAAATTAAATATTTCTGCGGC